GCCAATTTAGGACTCTCTAAAAAGCCAAGTTTCCAAGGGAAAAAAAAAACACATGTGGATATTGTCTTAATTCTCCTGAGCTCACTTAAGGACTGAAATCAGAGTTTGCTGAGGGAGGAAAATTGATGTGAACTATGGATTAAGAATCATTTCAGCTGGAGAAATGAGGAAACTAGAGAATTCACCCAGCTGGCATTTTTTTCAGCAAGACTCCTAAAAGCTAGCCGGAGGGTAATCATAAACACTGAGCGCTTACCATGTTCTAAAACCTTTGCATTAATTAACTCACTTAATCATGACAACGACCTTATGAGACTCAGAGAGGTTAAGTTATACTCAATAACACATCTACTGAGTTCAGAGCTGCATTTTAAACCAGGCAGTCTGCATGGTTAGCTACCAACACACACTTCAGGAAGAAACTCAAAGGCAGACCATCTGCATGGATGTGAGCCTGAGCCCTGCCTTCTCTTGTCCTCTTCCTCCTCCAGTCCCTGACCTTTGCACTCTAGGACCACACACTTTACCTGAAAGGAACTTCCAGAGGAGAGGGATCCGCGAGCCCGAACCACCAACATCCACCACATCAGAAGTCAGCTCAGCTCTTCCCTTTCTCAGAGTTGCACTCATTGGTCCCCCTAACCCCACTGTCCTATTATAGAAGTTTCCTTAACCCATAATTATTCCCTCTCCCTGGGCCAGTAAGTCAACAGAACATTCAAAAAGCAGTCTCCAAAATGACTCCTTTGCTAAAACTGTTTTCTCACACCTGGGGGCTCCCCTTTGAGGTGCCAGAACTCCAATCAGGGAGTCCTAACCATGAATAATGCATCAGGCTTTTACCAAAAATCAGAAAAGCCAGCAGTGGCCCAGAAGGGTCTGTTATCCCCCAGGGTTCATGGGCATCATGACTAATCCATTGATCTGCTACCCAAATGAATGCCCCATAGTCAGACTCAGTAATTACTGAATATTGAATAGGTACGTAAATAACTAAAATGTACTCATACTTTGAGTTGCTGTAGCTCTTTGACACCCAAAATCTTTACTCATTTTGAGTTTTAAAGGTCCACAGTCACGTTAAATATAGTTGGAGGGGTTGAGAGATGGGAAGCCCACTTTTCAGAAAACCACGAGTGACTAAAACCCAGAAGGCTCATGAGCTTGTATCACATGAATCAATTCAGTCAATATTTATTAACATCTATTATCTACTGTGTGTTGAGCAGTGTTAAGCACAAGGTGTGGCAACAAAAAGACGTTTATTATCTAAGTGGAGAGATAGACATATAAAAAGCTAATCAGCTTATAATAGGAAACGTAAGGAGAATGAGCACGCGCTCCCCGTGAGGATGGGGGGGTAAATGGCAGGTCCTAGAAGGCTAAGCAAAGGGGATGACTTTGGAGTTGGGTCTTACAGGTCGAGGAAGATTTTTTTTTTTTCCAGAATGAAGAAGGGGAAAGAAACAGCAGCCCAGACAGGGGGACTGGTATGCACAAAAGCATTCAGGCATGAAGTCAGGGGTCTGTACAGAGAATTGCATGGGGCAGGTATTAAAGGGACTTGTATATACACTATACTAAGGAAATGGGGCTTTATCCTGTATCCTGTAGGCCATAGGGTGACATAGTAAGTTTTTAAAGAGATGCCTGATCATGAGCAGATTTGTGCTTCTGAAACCCCCTCGGGCAGTAATAATAACGAGGCTGGATCAGAGAGAAGGCCCAAGAGTTGAGAAGCTACTTCCTTAGTGAGGGCAGAAGGGTAAAGATTCTGCCTCGGGACCGAGAGGGGACCGAGAGTGGCCCGGAGGCTTGGCAGGCATTTCTGAAGGCCACATCAGGTTTCTGATGGTGATGGGGAGGGGGGGTGAAGATGATGCCCTTGGCTAAGGAGAGGCATACGTGAGGGATCTGGATATGAGTAACGGAACTCACGCTGCTGCACGTTTGTCAGGCCTTTCTGTACACCCTATGCCTGCTCAAAGGGGAATCAGCTCTGGTTAACCTGTAATGGACCTGGGTCCAAGTTTGCACTCAGGGCCACCCAGAGCTAACCGCGCACACCAAGCCCGCACCCTGGATGCTTGTCCTGCCCCAGCTCCAGACTTGGGAGTTAGCTTGTTGAGGGAGGCTCTGCTCACAACATACATCGTTTTAGCCTTGGCTTTCTCCTTCCTGCCTAGCGATTAGAATAGCTTGCCCTTATCTTTACCTTGTGAAAGAACACCTTCTCCCACAAGGAGCCCTATCCTCAACATTGTGTCTCTCCCTTCCAAAGCAGCCGCCCCCTTGCCACTCCTTGCCAACTCCCATTCACACCTGGCATCTTTTCGGAAGTAGCAGATGTAGGGCAGGGGGCAATGAATCAGAGGCTGGGGCTATCTGTTCCAAGGCTATCCTCACCAACCACATGACTTTCAGAAATTGGGTGACCTCTCAACCTCAGTGACCTCACTCAGACAACAGGGGAAGAGAAATGGATACTAATCTTTGCTTATCTCGCAGGATTGTTGTGAGGATAAAATGAGATACAGCCCTTGCAAACAGCACCAAGAAAAATCTGGAAAAGGCGCTACAGAATTATCAGGATTACCAGGTGCTACTGTCCACCAGCGAGTTCCTTGAGGGCAGGGGCCTGTTGTCTTCCCCTTTGAGACTGGGGGGCCTGATTATTCCTGGTACAGAGTCAGTGTTTGATAAGAGTGTGTTCAGTTAAGAACAAGGACCACTACCACCATCAACACACATGCCCCTGCCTCTCTCTCTCACCAGAAATGCAGGCAAACCCCCATTTTTGGAAGTACAGCTCTAGTCCTGGAGTATTTCAAAAACAGCCAGTTCCTGGAGGAAAACCAAATGACTGTCATGCGCATGGATGCTCCCATTGAGCACGTTTGACCAAGCCTGAATTCGACCCCTTCTCAAGGGAAGTTACTGAAAACTGAACCCCCAGACTCACTCCCCTCCAAAGAGCCCCAGCTGGGTCTGCCCCACAGCTGCGTTCGACATAGGTTTTTTTGCCCGCAGGAGCTCGGCCGCCTCCACCGCTGTTTTCATTGATGCCTTGAGCAGAGCTGGCATGTGCAACTGCTGAGAAGGGGGAGAGCAGAGCTGCGGGGGAAGCAAGTAAAAATAGCCTGGCGCGCGTCGCTCTGCCTGCTCCGGACGCCTTTAACCCTGGCCGAGGTGCGGAGCTCAGCAGCTGCTGATGCACAATGCGGAACCTGGCAGGGTCTGCATCCAGACCCCGCGCGACAACCGGGCGCAGGGGCCAGAGACCCGCGTAAACTTTTCTTTTTTCTTTTTTCTTTTAGAAACCGAGCTGGGGGTGGGGGAGGGAGGGCAGGTGGTAGCTGTTTCTTGCTTCCAGCGCTCCAGCCACCTGGCTGCAGGGACTGCTACGTGCCCGCTAGCCCAACACTTCATATAGGCGCAGCCTTGACTCCGAGCTATTTTTAGAAACCTCTTCCGCGGGTGGGCGATCAAAGAGAAGAGGGCCAGGGAATTGGTAAGGCTAGCTTTCCGCTGTGAAGCTAGGCGCCTCGCACACATCGTTCTGAACGTCTGCTGTCCGGTAGGGGGCTGGGGGAAGAAGTGGCGAGGGGCAGGACGCCTGCAGGCTGTGCTCTACTCAAGGAGACGGCTTTAGCTACTAAATGCCCCTGCTGTTTTCAAGTCCCAGAGCGTGTTTGTTTTTCGAAATCGACAGTTGCCAGATGCATGCTGCTTCTAGTCTCTTAGAGAATGGATTTTTAAAAGCTTTTCTGCCTACGCTGTGGGGAAAGGGTTAGCCGCAGTTAAGACCTCGAGGGAAAGGATCGGGTAAGGGTCTCGGCACCTTTTTTTCACTCCAGCAAGACAGAGGGACAATCCCCGCGCCACTCCTCCATCCCCGCCCCACGCTGCATATGGGTAACCATATGTGAAATGTACGGCAGCCCTACCAGACACCCGGCTATTAATAGAGCCCGGGAGTTTGCTCTCCGTCTTCCTCCTGCCACCAAGTAAGGAATGATCTTCACACACACACACCCCACTCCGCCCCCACCTCGGCGCACCGTTTCTCCAGGAAGGTAAGGGGGCTGCCCACGCCGATCCCGTTCGTGACTACAGGTGCCAAAGCCTACGGACTAGTCCGGTTGTAACGACAGCAGGGTCAGGACGAGGCCAGGGAACAAAGCCTCCAGTCTTGGGACGCAAAAGCCAGCCGGGCTCTTAGCGGCTCAGGGACAATTCGAGAATAGAGAAAAGACAGTTACTGGGCTGCCGGAGGCGGGGGGCCAGAGTGCAATTTGCGGAGCTAGAGCGACGTCTCCCGCTGCAGCCCGCGTCGCGCGGCCCCCACCGCCTCCCGGCCCCACTGCCGCAGAAACGGGCGCTGTCCCTGGTCCTGAAGGTGGCCGCGGCCAGTGCTCCCTCCCCGGGTTTGCAGACTTCTACGCGACCCGGATCTGGGTGGGAAGGTCTGCTGCTGGGACCCGAGTGCCACCACCTGCTCGGCTCGGTCCCCGCGGTCGGAGCTCCCCGCGGTGCTGCGGGCACCGAGAGCTCGGGGACTGACTCGAGCTTGAAGGGTAAAGCAGAGGCAGCGGCCGGAGATGGTCGAGGCGCTGCAGGGAGCGGACCTGGCCCCAGGATCACCCACCCCAGCTCTGCACAAAGCGGGACTGAGCCCCAACGGAGGCCAGAAGAGAGAGGGCAGGGGAGCGCTGCCGCCCAGGGTCTTGGACTTGGGGAAAAGAGAAGCGAGAAGCGGGTGGCAGGAGAGGGAGATGGGATGAGAGCGACTTTTTTGCATTTTCAAGAGGGAGGGGACCCGAGACATGCACTGTCTCCCCCCCACTACACACACACACACACACACACACACACACACGGCCGGCAGAAGCAAGCGCGATGGAGCTGGGGAAAGTTTGGCACGCGGTGCTGAGCGGCGGCGGAGGCGCGGCGGCGGGGGGCTGCGGGGGTCGCGGGAGCCCGGCCCCTCGCCTGCTTACCTCGGTGCTCTCGGCCGCGTTCTCCGCCATTTTCCTCCTTAGGAGCAGGCAGCGGGAGGAGTGTTTCATGCCCATAAGAGCCGGCGAGGGTTTGGTGTGATACAGAGATAGTAGAGTCAGAGAGCTGGTGTAGCTTTAAAAGAGAGAGAATGGGAGGGAAAAAAACCAACCCAGCCCCTCCGCGGGAGCGTCAGCCGATACAATCAACTAGGTTGAGTCTTTTCTGCAGCCTCCACTTTGTTTTATTTTCCTCCCTTCTCATCTGCTTCGGATTCCTTCACACAGTTTTCAAGTTCTCGCGCACCGACCCCCTCCCTCCCCGCCCCTCGCCACCCGCGCTGCGGGCTCAGCAGGAGTGCCGTGGCCCCGAAGGCTCCGAGGCGGCGGCGGAGGCTCTTCTCCAGGCTGCTCGCAAAGTCCGGCCGGCCGGGGGCAGCCACCAACTCCTCTCAACTTCTGCCGCTCGGCTGGGCGAAGCAGAACGCTTCCTGCGCGTCTCTCCTAGGGGCTGAGCCGGGTGAGTGGGGGGCGGGGTAGGAGGCTCGGCAGAGCGCCCGGCGGCTGGGCACGGACCCAGGACCCCCAGCGCCCCGGGGCCGCCCCGGCCCGCAGGCTCCAGGGGTCCCCTGACCGTGTCCACTCCCAGCGCCGGTGACGACCTGCACGGGGGCAAGGGCTGCGCGGACGCCGCAGGGCCGCGCGGGAGGCTCGGGGGAAGCAGGCGCCCGGCTGCGCTCTCGCAGGTTCTTAGCCTCGGGTGTGCGTCCTCCCAGCCGAGGGCAAACTCTGGGCAAGACTGGGCCACCGTTACCTCGCCCCCGGCCCACCCCACCCCTGACGCTCCCGCTCCTCTGCTAATTCCTGGATCCTTCTTTGGAGAATTGCAGTGTGGGGAGCGAAGGGGTGAGTGCCTGGATGAGGGAGGGTCCTTAACTCCTTCAGTTCTAAGGCTGAGTGTGGTCTCATCTCTCCTCTGCTACCCCCGTCCCGGTCAAGGCACCTGGGGCTCCGAGCCGCTCTCAGGCTGAGAGGGTGGGGCGAGGGTTCAGCCAGAGGTGGCCTGGGAACGCGGTGGGCGGAAGCCAAATGGATGAGCCTTCAGCCGCTCTCCCCTGCCCGTCTTCCCTGGCAGCCCCCTGCCCACACACTGCTCTGCTCCCTCCTCACCCCTCCCTATCATCACCAGATTTTGAAGTCCCTTTTATGGGAGAGAGGGAGGATGTCACGTACCCATTAGGATTCTCTTGATCCTTTTTTAGGGAGTTTGGGCGGCAGCAGGGGGTGTGAATTTTTATACAATACATTCCTGTCTGCACTTTGAGAGCTTCTTTCTCTCTGCCTTACTGGCCATCTGTCAGGCGGGTGGGAAATAGAACAAGGGGTGGCAGGGAGGGGGGACCCCACTCTCTCTCCCTTTGCAACAGGCCACTCAGGCTGACTTTGCTTCAAAGACAGCTGCACTTTCAAGCTTTTAGCCCAGAAGTCGAGGACAAGGACCTAGAGATGCCCCTTGAGTAGCCCAGCTCTCTTCACTTCATCCCTGACTTACACAGGGAGATGATTCCTGTATACATGCTCTATTTTTTTCTATCATCACCTTTGACAACCAGAAAGTATGAGCCTGATTGTCCTCAGCTAACCCCAGAGTCGATGAAGAAATGGGTCAGAATATAAGGAAGCCCCCATCACCTGGTCCTAGGGGAAAGAGAGGATGGACTGCAGTCAGAGGAGGGGATGGAGAGGAGTAAGAACCATGACAAGACACCATCAAGAGTTAGTGAGCAAGTGTGTGTGTGTGTGGATGTTAAGGCATGAATAAATTTAAGTGAATGACCCCCAAATCTCCACAATCTTTTCCTCTCTCAGACCACAGACCTGGACTAGTGTTAGGGTGAATGAGCAGAGTCTTTGGCAACACCTCTTTCTTTTCCCCTTTTACACCCAGCCACTGTGCAGAAAGTGTTAGAGGGGTAAATGAATCTAAAGAATGAATTTTGCCCTCTTGCACCCCACTTTCTGTAAGCATCTTTCTCAGAGACAAAAGATTATTATGATCACCTACCAAAAGAGCCTCAGTACTTGCACTATCAACGAAGATCAGAAAGGGTCCTCACTGATCATAAAATCCTCTTGTTTTACAAAGACAGACCCCTAGGATTAGAGAGAGGACAACGTTAGCTGTGATTCTTCAGCCAGCTGAGGGAGCATCTGAGATCAGCTCCTAGCCTCCTGACTTTCAGTCCAACACTCTCTCCCCAGCCCACCCCACACTGCTTCTGCCTGTGCAGTGCATCCATTCTGTGACTAACTGGGGAGGAGGGCAGCTGAGACAAGCTCCCACTGAAATAGGCTGCTGCCTGTGCGTGATTATGTTGCTATGAGAACCTCAGTGGGTGTGTTTCCTCCATTCTCTGTTGAAATCTTTTGCTTTGCTTGGCTTCTCCCCAAGCACAGACACAGCTCCCCTTGGAATAGGAGTGAAGAAGCTGAAATGGAGAGCTGATTCTCATGGCAAGAGCTTCCTATTATAACCCATGCAACCCAGCTCCAGCCTAGGCTGCAAGAGGAGCCCAGCCCCTGGGTGGTCCCCTAGTGGCTGGAGGACATGAGCGAGCCTCGCAAACGTGGACACACCAGTCCTCTGCTGAGCCACCTTGGAGCAGAGACCTGTCCCTGCTGTGCTCCTCCTAACTACAAATTCACAAGCAAAATAACTCTTACTTTAAGAGACCAAGTTTTAGGGTGATTTGTTACACAGTAAAAGATTACCTGAACAGCCATCTGCTAGGGCTGTGAAAACTCATGATGCAGGAAAAGTGCCTGCATAGTAGGCATTTTATAGTTTTCTCACCATCCCCACCATTCACAGGAGTTTGGTCTTTTCTGTCTCTTTGGCATAAGCATATTGCGTAATCATCTACAAGGTTAGTTAATTTCATCATTCCACAAAGAATGGACATCTTTTATATACCTTCCTCATTAATATAGGCACTGGATTTGACAGGAGGCAACAAAAGATATTGGACTGACCATTGAGGGGCTCTTACACACCTTGAATGCTCTGAAATGTACAGAACTTTTGGAGAAGAAATTTTGAAGGGATTTTGATGGGAGACAAGAAGACATATGGGATGACAAGGTAGTTCACCAGATGTGGTTGAATGGATAGTCTGGGACAATTATGTCCCACCAGGTAAAGAGTTCCTGAAGACACATTTTGCTTATGCCATTTCTTATACTAGATCTTCCACACAACACAGTGTATTAAATATTACATGTAAAGTGCTCAGAACAATGTCTGGCTCTTGGTAAGTGTTAATGTTTGCTAGGCCCCATCATGAGCTCTGAGATAAATTTTACAGAGCACTTATTATGTGCCAGAGACTTTTCTAGACTTAATGTCTTCTCATTCAGTTCTTTCAACAATTCTTTCAGGCAAGCACTGTTATTAGCCCCACAAAAACACAGAGACTTGCTGAAGTGGTAGTCAAGATTCAAATCTAGGATGCCTCATTCCATAGCATGACCTTCAAGAGGTTAACCAGGTTCTGGGAACAAGGCAGTGGTTCTCAATATTAGCTGCATAGTGGAATCATCTGAGGAGCTTTAAAAATTCCAGTGCTTCTGTCCTATTTCCAGAGGGTATGATTCAGTGAGGTCTGAGCATCAAAATTTTTTTTCTAATTCTCTAAGTGATTCTAATGCAGCCATGGGTGAGGACAATTGGATGAGAATATTTGGAGGAGATAAAAAGACCCACAAAGACGATCCCTAAGTTACATAAATGACCCCCCAGCACTTGAAGAACCCCCACTTTATAGAAACATGCATTTCTAACACAGAGGTTCTTGGGAGCCACGAGATTCTTGCGAGAGTAAAGTTGTGCTGATGGTTAAGCCAGCATGTGAAAGTTGGAATGAGACTCTTGGGGAAGGCTATAATTGGAAATGTTACCCAGCTTTATGAGATGCCACAGAGAAAGTGTGTTTCCTGCCCATGGAAGTGTTTAGTTAGGCTAATTATTTGACACAGCTGCTGCAGCGGAACTGCAAACCCTTGAAGTTTGAGCAAGGCCTCTAAGGATCCATCCACCCCATGCCCCAACTCCATAATTGTCTCCCTTCACCTCAAGCACTCCAGAAGGAGAAGACAACATATAGTAGCTCGATTTCAGGAGCCAGCCAACATTTCCTTTGCTGCTTCCCAAACTCCAGTGTCCCTGAAACCAGGATGCAGTTTCTCTAACCTGCAGATGGTACTGTCTGAGAAAACCCAGGCTATGGCTTGTTGAAATGCGGATGCCACAATAAAAAGAGATGTATAAGACATGTCATATGGCTTTCCCCTCCTCCTCCTAGGGGTACCTCACATGTGGTCAGAGCTCACATGTGACCAAGTCACGCTACAGTGAATCCAGGACTCCTCAAGGGTCAGGCCACAGCCGTCATCCATCACCACCTCATGGCGGCTCTCCCGGCAATGTTCGGACTGAGCTTCCAAGCAGTCCCACACCTGGACTGTTCTCCTACACAAAAACCTGTGCAGTCCTATTTCTTCCTAATGCACAGCCCAATTACTTCTTAAACTATGTCCAAAGGACAACTTGTAAGAGGGCTACTAGCACCTGTGTAGTAATGTGGGTTTCTCTCTCTCTCTCTTTTTTTCTTTTTTTTTGCATAAAAACAATGTTATTTCTTCCCTGCTCTGGTAATATCTGATTAAATCAATTCATTCTAGTTTTGTGCTAGAAATGATTCGGTTTGTTTTGGCTATGTTAACAATATTTAGGAGACATTTGCTTAATAGTTCTGTATTAATAGCTAAACCCTCGGTGTTTTATGCCCCTAAGAAGCTGAGTGTTATTTTTACCTGCTTGTCTCTCAGTCAGGGAAGCACTGAAAAGACATCTAGACATTTTTTTTTCTCAGTGGCCTATAATGAAAACCAAACTTCTGTGGAGAAGGGGACAGACGGATATAGTAGTAGAACCATGAAGGTACTAAGATACTCTTTCTAAAATGCTATCACAAGAGAAATTAACTTTTTCTTCTTGGTTGAGATTGTACACTCCACTCCTTTCCTCCTTTTCAAATCTTTCATAAAGGCTCATCTTTTCCTGGAAAAATCTCTCCTAAATCTCCCAAGGCCAGCTGGAAATCAATTCAGTCTATCCGGTGCAAGAACTTAACACACATTTTCTTCCATTAGCTCTTGTATAGCAACTACTGTAAGCCCCATGCTGCACTAGGCATTCTGGACCAGAAAATGAGAAGACATATATCCCTGCCCTAATGACACGTCTTCCACGAAGAGATGGCTATAAATTCAGGTACTATCAGGCATCAGATGCATTGTTTCTTCGAGATTGAATATAGCTATAATCAATGGTTTAGAGTCAGGTAGGCCACATAAGAAGTATCTACCAATATAGATAGACAGGGAGACCCTGGAGGCTCTAGGGCCTGGACCAGAAGCATAGTAGCCTGCATTCAAGTAAGACTGGGGACACATTCTTAATCAAAATACCAAAGTTCTTCTGTACCTTGGAAGCTTTTTTGGGTGAGAAGTTTTGCAACCTTGGCCCTTCAAACTCATTATGTATGGATGTCCCGTTGCGATCTCTGCTGTTTCAGAGGTAGCCCCTCCTGAAAGTGCATCGTGAGCAGATGCCATCTGTTTCCTTTCTGGACTATTTAACCACCCTGGTCTCAATTCTTCTCTTCCAAGAAGGTTTTATTTCTTTTGTAAATTTAGACTTTGCTAGATTTTTTAAATTTAAAACTTCACCCCTCTAGGGTAATAGTAATATTTTGCTGTGTATCCTCCATTTTTTGCTCATGCAAATGCATATATAATCATTTATATAACATTTGTTTATATAAATGCATATATAACCCCTAAGTATGTGCAGTTGGTATGCATTGCATAGAAGTAGAATCATATTACATGCATTACTTTCCAGGTTGTTACATGTAAATCCAGGTTATGACTTTTAAGAGCAATGTAACATCTTACTGTATGGATAAAACACACTTTTCAAAACCCCCTTGGAAGAGAAGAATTGGATAAACCCCACTGATGGACTTTCCAGTTGTTTCTCATTCCCAATATTGCAATAAATGTTCTTTTATGTATATCCTTATGAATAGGAGTTTTTATTTCCGTATGATAGTCCCCCAAAAGTGGTATCATTTTAGTACGTGTTGCCAGATCCTTAACAAGATTGATTTATCAGACTGTGGCCTTCACCCTGGGGAGGCACAAACCCAGCCTTCCTTCTCCCTTTCACTATTCCAAGGCCAAGTACAAAACCCCTGCTGCACTCAAAGCCTTCATCTGGCCCCCCAGGGGGAGGGCCCATGAAATACTAGCCGCAATCTCGCTTTAAAGGCATTGCTACACCAAGCGCTATATAGCGCCCGGGGAAAGGCTTCATGAAAGATGGGACATATTTCCCTGAAGGGAAACCAGATTGCTTCCAAGTGCTAGGCAGCAGGGCATGAATTTGGTGCTGCCAAGAAGAGGTTCTATGGTCTGAAAAACAATAAAGACTAAAAGCCTTGACATCAATCACCTGTCACTCAGGTGGAATGGCCACCAAAGACCTACAGGCTTGCAGGGCCACCCTCCATTCCCTTTCCTTCCAGAAGGCTGTCCCTGAAGGATAGCCTGGATTGGTAGCAGTATAACCACTGCTACTTGGACTTAGTGCCTAACAGAAACCCCACCACTTGGAAAACCACACTCTCCACTTCCCAAAAGTGTCTTATATGGCTCCCTGTTAAAATAATTATTTATCGTATTCAGATTTTCCCACAAGATGTGGCCCACCCATTACCCCTGACAAGGAAACTTAACCATTTAAAACTCCCATCTGAGCCTGTTAGAAGATGCTTCCAAGTGTGAGAGGCCAAGGAAGGAAGAGGCAAGGGGAAGGAGACATGTGGGCAGATCCTGGGAGAGAGAGCCTGGGCTTCGTGGTTTTGCAGGCCAGGAGCTCAACCTCTTTATCTGTGTACAATTGGCTTAATGGTCACCTCTTTCTGGCAGAGGACTTATGAGAATAAAATGAGCCTGTGTAGATGATGAAGCATCTAGCACAGTTCCTAGGAAATAACATTCTAATAGAAGTGTGCTTCCCTTCCAGCAGCTGTTCTCTTATAGGAGGCCACACCTGCCCACGTGAGAGAGAGAGAGAGACAGAGTGCGTGGAGAGACAGCATCACCACTGAGGTCAGCTGACCTGTGCCCCAGTCCCAGCTCTGCCATTAAATAGCTGGGTGGCTTTGAGAAAGTCATGTTACCTCTCTGAACACATGTCCTCTTCCTTAGAATGAGTGGTTTACATGAGACAAGCCCCATCAGATGTACCCCCTTTTGGCTTTGTCATTTGACACCTGGTGTTGGTAATGATTCTAACACCCAAATCACCACAAAAGCTAGTCTCATGCACCTCAACCCAAAATTCAGCTCTGATGGCCCGAACAAAGTCTGGAGAGTAGGAGCTCTCTCCCTGCCACTTGTAAGAATGACTGAGTGGAAATATACATTTCTGCAGGTCAGAGAGTTACGAAGGAGGCCTGTAGGCTGCGTTTCTTAAAGTGTTTGCTCCAGCCCAGGGCTGTAATTAGGGCTCTCTAGAGGTCAAAGGAGTTCCTTTTTTTTTTTAAACAGTCCTGTTTGACTCTAGCAGCCTCAAAGGCAGCAACCAAGTAGCCGTTATAGTCATCACTCGATTTCTCCATCAGGCCTCAGGCAGCAGAGTTCAGGCGTGGAACCAGTAAATTTCTTAACAGCATAAGCTACTGGGCTGTGGTCAATGTAACGCCATCAGGCCTCAGTGATCCCCATCAATGCAAGAATATTGTTAATCAGCAGGTTATCCAAAAATTGCTTCTCTCTGACTCATTTTATGTACCCAGACACATGCAAGTAATATTTCTACCTGTCTAATGATTCTTGACTTCAAAACATACTCACATTAAGGTGTGGTCCCACAGCACACAGTGATGGCCATGGACAATGATCTGGAAGGCAGCCCACTGGGGTGCTGGAGAAGCAGGCCAGAGTCCTCATCCTGCCAGGAGCAGCCTGCTCTGTGGGTCCTTCAGCTGTGGAAAACAAAAACCAATAATCTTCACACTCCTCTCTGGGCCATGGATTGTTCAAGTTATTCCAGGGGAAAAACTTTATAAAAGTTAGATAACATTTTAAAATCACACAGCAAGAGAAGAACAACTTCAATGTCTTGAGCCTTCCAGGTACTCATTTAGCTCAAATGCAGCTGTGGCTTCCAGAGAGAAGGGCTTCCTCTCCTGGGATGGAAATGCCACTGGCAAGGCTAAGAGCTGTCTCCTGGGGATGTGGTCCTTCTCTCCTGGGGCCCCACAGAAGGAGAAGGAGCCTGTGACCTCAGATTAGTTGGCTGCAGGCCACATGCCCATTCCAGGCCAGGCACTACACTCAGTATAGTACACCCCAACTCCAGGGGTCAGTTGCATTGTTATCCCCATTTTATAGATGAGGCAAGGAAGACTCAGGGAAGTTAAAGGGCTTGCTCAAGTCGCATATCTAGTGAGGGATCAAATGCTGCTTAGAGCTTGCTTGTATCTTCCTGTCTCCACCACCTGAAGGACACAGACTGCATCACTGCACAGGCCTGGTTTAAATCCAAATTCTGATATTTTAACTGTGACTTTAGGCCCATTGCTTCATTTCTCTGAGCCCCAAGCTTCCCATCTGACAAAGGAGATGGTCCTGGTAAATCTACTATGCAGGCTTTTTGTAAAGTGCCTGACTCAGAAGCAAACTCATTGAAGACCCCCATAAATGGGCATGATGGCATTCAGCATATGGCTGGATGTGACCCCACTTCAGCAAACTGTATCTGTTGTTAGACTCTTGGGCACAATTGTAAAAAGTATTCCCCATGCCCAGAGGCCGGAGTATCTGTCAACCTGGCAATGGCTGCACACAGGTGACTCCATTTGCATAGCACCCATCAACATGGATCCTTGCTGGTATGGAAGACATTTTTTTTAACTTCTCGAAAACTCAGCTTATGCAGCGACTAAGTCTCCCATACAGGTACATCAGGACTGTTTAGGCACCCTGAGCGAAGGAGGGACTAATCACAGAAAAGAAGGAAAGATCCAGCACTTTGGGAAGAGTATAGTAGAGGAGGAAGGGGGAGGGGAGAATGATATCAGAACAACTTTGCATATATGCCCCAACTCTTCTTCAACCTGCAAAGATGGCCTTTTCTTTTTAAAATAAATCTGCATCTGTATCTTTTCCTCCTGGCCAATAAACCAGGCCCTGTAAGGTTCAAGTCATAGTTTCCAGCTGGGAGGCTCTGGGCAAAGCTTGTCCTCTTCTTTGGGCCTCACCTTAAGTCAGTTAAGACTGGGCTTCTGCCTTCCTTCTCCTGATTGGAGATGGAGTCCCTGAAACTGCCCTTCCCAGACTAAGTTTGGAACAAGCTTTCTAGTCCTGTAGAATCATGGCCCAAATTTGTGTGGGTAAGAACGAGGGAGATTAGAAGACCAGCAAGATCCTGGATTTTTCTCCCTAGGGATGTTTTTTCCTGGCCCTGGGGACAGGGTGCATTGCTGTCTGCTACATATCAGATGGGTTCAAATGACATACAAGGGCCTCCAGTAAAACCAGGCCACTCCAGCCTGGGTCACACTAAACAATTGCCCCAAGTTCCTCCTCTCAACTTGTCTCGGGACAGAGAATCCTTTGTCAGCCCCTCCTGCTCTAACGGCCCTCCCAGAGGTGTCCAGCAGGCCCCAAAGGGCCCCATCAGATGCACCCCCAGTGAGTCTTCCTCACTTTGGCTCCCCTTTGTCCACTTCCAGTGAGGTGTAGGGAAGGCCTCCCCCGCCTTCCCCTACTGTTCCATGAGGACAGCTGCCTGCTGCTTCACCCCTGATATGTCTGGCCTTGAGAAACCTGTTTTACCCGTGGGAAAGGAGCTAGATAAGGGCCTTGAAGGCCAGATGCCTGGCCGTGAGGGCCACACACACATGCGCACCTTAAAACACTTAATGTAACCATGAATTAGCAGTATAGCAGTGTAAGAAGTACAACTGTGTGCAGAATAAAGTGGCCTCTCTGAGCACCCTCCATGACGACTCCTGCTGCCTTCTTTGCTCTTCGCATTGCCCCAAAACCTCAAAGGCAACCCCCAAACCCCAACCGGAAGGCAGCTGCTTTCAGGAGCCTTGCAGTAACCCACACGGACAATGTCCTTCCTGAGGATGCTGATGGCTGTGGCAGGGCTCCTGTGCCCCAGCACACCCAGCAACTTCCCGGCATCATCTGCAAGCAAGGACAGGTTTGCTGAGCCTCCAGGCCCACTCCCTGTGCTTGCGGTCTCTTCAGGCCTCTTGGAGAAACAGCCCCGTCCATTTCTGCCCTATGCCTTCCATTCTTCTGTGAGGGCACAAAGCCCAGGGTTGGAATAGAAGCAGAGGGCACACCATCCTGTTTATTGCTGGAGTCTCTTCTTCCCATCTTTCACCTATGGGACAGTAGAACAAACTCCTCCCCTCTTTAGCCATAAGCAAAAGGGCCCATTCAGGTCCATTCCTGTGGACAAAGCCTTGATGAGGGGAGGAGGCCTGGCTCCAACCAAGCCTCCTGGCCCATAACATGAAACACAGGCCGGGCCTCTTCTGATGGCAGATGAGTGTGGGCAACCCTGTCTTTCCCTCTGGGCTTCCAGACATTTGCTCATGCCTTGTGTACGTACATTTAGTTGGGCAAGTAGGTAGTGGCATCTATGGAATGTCTGTAATAGTGTAGACCCATTCTCATACCAGACCCTACTTTGTCCTCCTGTTTTAGTGAGTTCCAGGATCTCTCTGCCCTGGATTCCCCACTATACCACCTCCACCCCCTGTTGGTCATTAACTGTCCTGGAGAAACAGCTGCATGGGTTTATTAGCATCAGCTGTTGGTGGCCTTCCCAGAGGTATTTGCATTTCAAGAGGAGACTCAAGAAGCTTGTCTAACTGCCTCCTCACCAAGATGCCAAAGAATGAATCTCTAATGGTGGAAGCTCAAGCATCAATGACGGACTGGGGAGCATGATGTGAGGGTGGAAGTTCACCCTCCCCTCTTTAAGATCATTGC